TCTTTAACTGTTCTATAACCGAACACTACATATTTAGTTTTATCAATAGAAATCTTAAAACCCCATGTCTGTCCCCAACCAACAATCTTATGCATGCTCTCTTGAACTTGAGCCATGACATGATCTACATTGCGCCCTCGCTTCCAGACAGCCCCGTCATCTGCAAACAGGGATGTTCCAAACCCAGGTCCAACCTCATCAAACATATTGACCATAATATTGAACAACACAGGACTGATCACCCTCCCCTGCGGGGTCCCATTATCAATCAATGTCCCATTAGATAAAGCAGGGGTGGCCAACCAGTCAGAGACTAAGAGCCAATTTTTTTTACTGTATTACAGCAAAGAGCCACATCATACAAATGTGCACTACATAAACATCACCCCAACCCTTACACACGCACGCACACGGGCACGTACGCACACGAGCAGACACGCGCACACACATGCAATCTGTCTGTGCAGAGAGAGGTGTGCTCTGCTCAGACAGATTTATTGTAAATGTCATCAACATGATAATGACAGAAATTGACTCGTACAGCACTAAAGGGCTGGACTCGACTCTCCCCGGTTTGCGGGCGCTTCCACCGCTCGCTTCAGCCGCTCCCCGGTACTTTTCATTAATGGTTTGGCTCTGGTTCTAACCGGGCGAGTCGATACCAGAACAATTTCACGTCAGCGAACATCAATTATGATTCCGAAATGAATGCTTGCAATCTCTAACCAAGAAAAAAAAATCAAGTTTCAACCCAGTGTTCAGCAGAAACACAACTGTCTTTAGTAAAAGATATAGATTTGACACATAACACCAACACCACTTTAGCTGATTTAGAACCACAGACACATGCTCAGTATAAGACCAGATACTTTTGCATTTGATTGAAGACAGACACTCACCAGGCAGAGTTGGCTTATCTCCTGGTGTAATGCTAGTTGTTGTTAGCTGGTTTTAGCATGTTAGCCGGTGTTAGCCGATGTCCGTAAATGTAATCCATTTGGTCAAACCACCTCCAGACTTTTCGGGTCTGCCTCTACTTCTGCTGCTGCGATCTTTCATTTCACGGTTGTCCCTTTTAAGCTTTTTAACTTTTCTCTGCATTGTCATGTTTGTGGGAATCATTCTGCTCCGTCCTTAGTGCTAGCTCCACAAACACCTTCTGGTTTCTGGTGGAACCAGCGAGATCAGGCTGGTGTCCTCTCCTCAAACTGAGGAAGGTGTTGCCCTCATCCAGCGACCAAGGAATTCTTTTCCGTACGGACGTCATGGTTCGAGGCAACGTGTTGTTTGTTATGATATTTGCTACAGCTGAGGTAGCAGCTGCAGAGTGATTGACAATGCATCCGACCAACCAGAATTGACGTTCGCCGACGTCAGATTGTTTTGGCGGCCTGGCTAGTGGAGTGAAGTCGGCCTTTACTATTGGTCAGAACTACATATGGAATGAAAGGCAGCGCCACCACCGAGGCGTTTTTGACGCTTGTCGAGTGAAAGCCCGAGAGCCGCACGGAACCAGCCAAAGAGCCGCATGCGGCTCACGAGCCGCGGGTTGGCCACCCCTGAGATAAAGTGCTTCCCACCCTCACCTGAATAACTCTATTTTGAAGAAAGTTCCTGACCCAATTTAACATCCGCCCTCTAATTCCTGCATTATGCAATTTTATAATCAAGCCCTCTTTCCACAACATATCATGTGCTTTCTCAATATCCAGGAAAACGGCCACTAAAACTTCCCTGTTAACTATGGCTTTTTTAATATCTGCATCCAGACACACAACAGCATCCACAGTCCCTCTACCTTTCCGGAAGCCACTTTGTACACTACTAAACTTACCCTCTCGCTCTAATTTATATACCAATCTATCCGTCACCATCCGTTCCATCACTTTACACAAAACAGATGTAAGTGCAATAGGCCTATACGATCCAGCCTGAGATGGCTCTTTAGAATGGCTGCCCTCCAACTTACCCAGCTGCTTAAAAGGGGCAGCTAACTAGTGGGTGGAATGAGGGGTGGAGCTAGGGGTGGAGCTACAGGCCATACCCCACTACAAATCCAACAGAAGAAGGGAGGTTCTGGTCCTGGTGGACCGTAGTCTCCTGCCTTAAGAGAGTGGTTGGAAAAGTCCATATGCAGGGTGAGACGGGTCAGCTGCTGTTCGTCAGCAAACCTTCTCCGCTGAGCGCACAATGCGCTGTAGTCTCTGCTCTTCCCTGACTGTGGCTCCAGCGAACCACACGGTGATGGAGGAGGTGAGGATGGACTCGATGATGGCCGTGTAGAACTGCACCAACATGTGTGCAGACAGCTTGGCTTTCCTGAGCTGCCGCAGGAATTACATCCTCTGCTGGGCTTTTTTGATAAGGGAGGTGATGGTCGGCTCCCACTTGAGGACCTGGGTGATGGTGGTGCCCAGGAAACGAAAGAACTCCACAGAGGTGATGGGGAAGTCCATCAGGGAGGGCAGGGGCAGGGGACTGTGCTCTTCCTGAGGTCTACAATCATCTCCACTGTCTTCGGGGCGTTCAGCTCCAGGTTGTTACCACTGCACCAGGACACCAGCCGGTCCACCTCCCTCCTGTAGGCGGACTCATCATTGTTGGAGATGAGTCCAAGGAGGGTGGTGTCGTCCGCAAACTTGATGAGCTTAACAAAGTCATGGCTGAAGGTGCAGTAGTTGGTGTACAGGGAGAAGAGCAGGTGAGAAAGAACACAGCCCTGTGGGGCTCCTGTATTTATAATCCTAGAGTCCGAGATATTCTTCCCCAGACGTACTCGCTGCTTCCTGTCCGTCAGGAAGTCAGTAATCCACCTACAGCTGGAATCGGGCACGTTGAGCTGGGAGAGCTTGTCCCTGCTCTAGTCCAAAATAAAATGCTGAATGCTTCATTAGCATTTTTCAAAAGGTTAGCATACCTCCAGTGGAAATTTGTCTTATCCACTTGTTTTGAACCATGACTCCTCTGATCCAGTGCAAAACCATGAACACTGTACTGAAGCAACATCTCAAGTAGAAAAATAGCAAGACAAATATCCATTGTAAAGTATAAAAACAACAACTGTTTCAGAACTACTTGGGACTTTCAACCGTTTCCAGCGCATTCAAAAGTAAACTTTTGAATTTATGGGCATTGGTCATCTGCCCCTTATGGACCAATGGCTTGATGTGTTTTTCTCATTGCATTTCTTGTGTTTGAACTGTTTCATTCTCTGATCTGTGTTGGCAAATTCAGCTGTTTTGTAAAGTCCTCCAAGATAATTACGATTGTGATTTAGGACTAAATCACTGGTCTCTCTCTCTGGTCTCTTTTCCTGGTCTCTCTAGTCGCTCTCATAGTGGTACAATGACATCATACTATTACAGTGCTGAGACAGGAGCTCTTAGACAGAAGGGGTTGGATGTTGTGCACGAATTTCCTAATATTAACATGAATTAATCTAAACACAACTTTAAGTTGGCTTTTATGTCTTCCTTAATAGCGTGTCCCCTTTATTTGTATGTGGTGCATGTGTTACAACATTGTACATCCACAGCCTCCAGGCCCTTCTCCTCCACACAGGCTCCTCCCTAACAACGTCACCCTCAGGCAGCTGTGTGTATCAGTCGAAGTTCTGCAGGTTCGTAGAGCATCCCTGGGGCCTGAGCATCCCTGGGGCCTAAGCACCAAACTATCAATACATTGTTTCAGCTAATTTCTTGTCTAGTCTTGAGGTTAATTAGTTAGTAATAGTAATAATATTAATCACAAACTGTCCATTACCTGCAGTTCTGTCTTACCCCTGTGTAAAATATACACATACAGTAGTTTCACACACTTTAAAGAATAAACCATCCATCCATTTTCTACCCTTTAATCCATTTCTGGGTCAGGGGGGTGGCAATCAGAGATGCCACCCAAATCTCATAGCACCAGCCCCTCACTGACCCTCTGCAGGTGGTGAGTCCACAGGAGGACAGCTGCTCTCTGAGTGTGAGCATAGCCTTGATCTTTCAGCGGGGGCTTTGGGCAAAGTGGGGTTAAGTGTCTTGCCCAAGGACACAACGACAGCAGTCATCAGTGGTGTAGAGGTGGGAATTGAACCCACGACCTTCAGGCCTGAAGGCCAATGCTCTACCAACTGAGCTACTGTCTTTATTATTAAAGAATAAATATTTTGCATAATTTTTTTTTTGTTATTATGAGACTATTTACTTTGTTATTTCATGTTTTAGAACGCATGTTATATATAGAAAATATACAGTGAAACAAGTATAAAGAGAAAAACATAGAGGGAGCAGCGAGAGTGACCAGCGAGAGTGGCCAGCGAGAGTGACCAGCGAGCAACCAGAAAGATCAGAGAGAGAGATCAGAGACAGAGACCAGGGAAAGAGACCAGAGAGAGAGACCAGAGAGAGAGAGACCAGGGAAAGAGATCAGAGAGAGAGACCAGTGAGGGACCAGAGGGAGAGAAATCAGAGAGACACCAGAGTGAGAGAAAGAGAGACCTGAGATAAAGAACAGAACCAGAGAGCGATCACTAGTTCTCACAAGTATTTTTGGTCTCTGTCACATCCTTAGATCAGCTTTTCCAGACAAGGGAAAAGGGACAAAGAGAGGACCACCCTCATTCAGCCAATAAGCTCTCAGCCCCCAAGAGTCAAATAATGACTCTCAGGGCTCTTTCTTGCACAAACAATAACATGTTTTCTAATGAGATGCAGACAGTATGTTGAGGTCTGATTTCACGTTTTACTTTTACAAATCTCTTTTTGTTAGACAAAAATAACCAGGTACCTCAGCTTTAACACTGACAGTACATTCCACTGTGTCTCCGCTAATTTAAGACAAACAAAGCACAGCTCATCTCTGTTGCACCACCGTCGTGGATGCTAAATTAAGACTCTGCTCCCGTCACTTCTGTAAATCTGGTCAAACCTGTTGACAGAATGTGAAACGCCTCTTTGCTTTTCTTGTAAAATCTCCAGACCAGGCCCCAGAGTTCACCAAACCACTTCAAGATGGAGGCAAGCGCGCAGCTACTTTTCTTAATTGCGGCCTTTTTTATGCAGGGAATTTACGCACAGGACTTCTATGGACACAGCCTCACGTTTCTACCACCACAAAGAAATTTAGATGGAACCACATTGGTATGGAAATGTCATTTTGAGAATTCTTTTGCTTTTACGGTCTGACATTAGCACAGGGGCCAAGGTTAAACTCTGGAACGATTTGAAGTCATTTGGATTTATCATCAAACCAATAAGTATTTTGGTGCTATAGAGCAGATATAAATAGATTGATAATTGGTTGAATATAGTAATTTTTGAGGTAAAGTTGACAAACGTCGCAAACTAGAGTTACCGATAACAGCTCTTGTTTCAAATGAGAAATGTCAAGTCGTAAGTTAATTTGAAGCCAAAACTATGCAATATTCCATCTGCAAATGCTACTCAGAGTGCAAATGTACTATATACAAAGTTATTTTTATACTTTGTTTGTGTTTTTTGCATTTTGCGGCTTCAAATTCTGACTAAATTGGTCAGTACAACAACCTTAAATTTCATTAATATGGATTATGGATCATATTAATCATAAAGACCAGAGAGAAGGAGATCAGAGAGACCCCAGAGAGTCTCTTGAGAGTTTTTTGTTTTATGAATAATACTTGTTTGTATCAACAGATAGAGTCTCAAAGCTAAGTGTTGTGAAATCAGACCACAACATGCTGCATTTAGAAAACATGTTATCTTTTGTGACAGAGGCCTAAAATGTGAAAACTAGTGATAGAACCTCTCTGGTCTCTCCCTCTCTCTGGTTTCCCTCTGGTCTCTCTCTGGTCTCTCTCACTCTACTGTCTCTCTACTCTTTTTCTCTGGTCTCTCTCTGACATGGGGTTCATTAGAGAGGTCTATTGGTGTGGTCTGAAAATTACCAACCTCAAATTTAGCAACAAACATTGACATCTTTTTAGCACATTCTCCTCAATGAACCTTTCTCCTGATGATGGTGAAATTAAAGCTGAGGTGTGAGTTTGAACCTTTATAGATTAATTAAAGGGGATACTGCTACATAGAACGCATCACGTCCCATAAATGTTGTGATGTGCAAGAATTCACATCCCCAGAATAAAGACTGAACTGGGCCGATTGGCCTTTTCCTATGCGGCACCATGGGCTTGGAAAAACATCCAAAACTTGTTTCAGTTAAAAGAACTTTCTCATTTAAATTTCAATTGAAGGAAAGATTAACTGTGCATGTTACTCTTGAGCTGGATATTTCAACCAATTTGATGTATTTTATAATGTCGTTGTTTGAGCTTGTGTATGTACGTTATTTGTTACCAAGGTGTTATTGGCCAGGTCTCCCTCATAAAAGATATTTTATCTCAATGGACTTCCTGGTTAAATAAAGGTTAAAAAATGAATTATAAACTATACTACTATTATACTAAACTACGAGAACCCTTGTTTCCAGCGTTTTTTTTTTAGATTAAAACCCCTGGAAACAAGAGGAGATTTGGATTGATTATCCAATGGAACTAGATCCTGGTACTTTCACACATCACACTGCAGCCGTATCCTGTGACCTTCTATTATCTTTCATCTCCACAATTACTGCATATTTTAGATGAACAAGGACAAAACAGCGACGTGCTGTTAATTATAATGTTGGGAGCTTGAGTTGAAAAGGCTTTAGAAAATCCAGATGAACAGGATTGACTGAAGTCAAGGCTCAACGCAAAAACGCAAGAACTCACAGAGCATTCAGGGCGAGAGAGCAAAACACACAGATCCTTCAAAACGAGAGAGCAGAGGATTTGTATAACAAAAGTAGAGGTTTCACTACAGAACAGATCTAAACAAAAGAGGAAAAGGTTGTGGAGATGCATTCTTTTACATTTGAGAAACTTAATATCTGTTTCCACCATTACAACCATTACAACTCTACTATGCTCTACTCTACTCTATACCCGACTCTACTTTACTCTACCTGGTTGCGCCTTACGCTTTAGTATCTGGTCCTTCACATGCTCCACATAGTCCGTGTACTGCAGTGGTTCTCAAAGTGGTCACACTTTGAGGGTCGCAAGATGATTTCCTTAAATATTTGTGTTGCAGTTGATTTGATTCAATGGCCCTCATTTATGAGGTGTACGCAGAAAATGTACACTTTTCGGCATTTATCATTCTGTTGTTGGGCGTACGGTGCGCACAAAATATACGCCATGTCAGGAGGTTTTGTAAATGTATATTCTCATCTCAAACTTCATCACAACAAGCCAAAACGCATGAAATTCAACATTTGGACAAAAGTTACCATATTCGCCCTCTGGCAAAATTTTAAGTTGTGTTTTCATTGGCTCATCATGTTTCGCAATTTGAATTTGCGCATCACAAAAAGTCTATGGAAACACGCAAACTTCGAACACATCAGTTTATGATGAGGACCCTCTTCTGTTTCTGTTTCTTGTGTGTGTATTATTTTGATCTGTATGTTTTTTAAAATTGAAGCGCTTTGTGATCCTGGACTGTGAAAGGCTCTATACAAATACACTTGACTTACTTAATAACTTACGCAACAGGGATGTGTGACCCATCTATTGCTTTCTAACTGGCAGGCCCTGCGCTGCGTAATTACGCACGGCTATCTGTTTTTCCTCATTCAAATCTGATAAAGCAATGTATTTTCTTCATTAGATTTGTGTAAACCTCACACAGACACACTCACTCCAAATGTCTCACTGCCCTGTCCACATGTAGCAGTTTATAGACAGGATGGCAACGCGCGTATCTCTTGCACAGCGCGCCGCATAACTCCTCATATGTAGTGCTCGTCATTCAGAGTTTCTCTGTGAAATCCCGGACCACAACTTCACAAAGGGATTCATTCTCGCGGTACTGTAGACTAAACAAGACTAAATTCACGTAGGCTACCCAGGAATTTTCCCCATAGAACTCAATGTAAACTAAAACAGCTTGACCTCAGCTGACAACCTGAGAACCTACTGTACAGCTTTCATAAAGTCCTTGATCCACAGTCTCAGTCCTGGATCTACAGTCTTAGCCCTGGATCTACAGCCTCAGTCCTGAATCTACCTCTGGCTTTGAGTGGTTCCTTGCCAATGCTCTGGACAGGGGTCATGCCGCGCCCTATGGACCAATGAGATATGTTAATAAATATGTATAAATTATTAAATACTTTACTTATAATAATTCATATGAAATCTTGAATATGGTGTTAGCGACAGCAGTGAGATTGATCCATAGACCATAACGTGTCCTTCCACTGCTATGCGGACAACACACAGATATACCTCCCACTGAGACCAAACGACCCCGGAAGTCTAGCTGCTGTGGTAGACATGCTTCAATGATGTGAACGGTTGGATGTCCCATAACTTTATACAGCTCAACACCTCCAAATGTGAAGTCCTCCTCATCAACCCAATCAATCTCCCACATCAAAACCTACACCCCTCCATCATCAAACATCACATCCTCCACCCGTAACCTCGGTGTCATTCTTGATTCTCATCTCACCTTCCGCAACCAGGTCAAACAAACCACCCAACCCTGTTTCTTTCACCTCCGCACAATCTCCAAGATAAAAAACATTCTCACTTCTCCTGATCTCCATAAAGTTGTTAACGCCCTCATCTTTTCTTTCCTCAATTACTGTAACTCCCTCCTCTCCGGTCTCGATTCCATATCCCTTTCCCACCTTCAACTGGTTCAGAAAGCAGCAGCCAGACATCTTACTGGTTTTAACAAAGGGGTGGTCTAGCACCAAGCTATATCACTGGACTTTTAACCTCCTACAAGTCCCCCCACAGCCTTAGATTGGAACAACCTGTTAACTGTTCCAACGAGGCTCCGGAAGAAGGAGCCCAAGCCTTCGCAGTCCAGGGTCCTTGGCCCTGGAATGACCAATGCGAGGAGATAAGCACCATCTCTTTAAAATGACTCACACTTTTATCGAACAGCATTAACCGCTAGTTTTAAACTTCACGTGTTACACTTTACTGTTCCACTTTGTCTTTGTTTTTGCTTCATTCTGCTGGATTTATTTTTGAAGCAGCATGCTCTAAACACTATTTTTGAGCTCTGTAATTAAATAAATGTTATCATTATGTGATGAGGGCGCTGCCCTTTAATAACTGGTGTTTAATAATGTTCAGTTAAACTGTGAATGACAGGTTTGGATTATTATTTATACGAACTTTGTGGCTATTTTCAAAAACAAACGAAAACACATGCTCTGGCAGCACGGTGGCTGAGTGGATAGCACTCTCGCCTCTCAGCAAGAAGGTCCTGGGTTCGAATCCCGGTCGGACCAGGGCCTTTCTGAGTGGAGTTTGCATGTTCTCCCCGTGTCTGCGTAGGTTTCCTCCGGGTACTCCGGTTTCCCCTACCACTAAAAATATGTCCAATAGTTCTGGCATGCGCTTCCTGTACTGGCGACCCCGCTCCCATCTCTGTGTGGAGTGAGAGACAAATGCCCAAAATTAACAATTGTAAACCGCTTTGAGACTCATATCTGCAGTGAAAAGGCGGTATATAAATAAAAACTTACTTACTCTACTCTACACTACTCTTCCCTGCTCTACTCTCTTGAAGTATAATAATACTTTTGCAAAGCACTGCATTTGTGATTGTGACGTAAAATTACTTATACGGTGCTAATAGTGAGATTCATTATTGTTATAATTATTAATTGATTAGTTATTCGGTCAACTTCGGTGAAGGCTCATAGACAGTTATTGAACAACTAATACTTACATGTATTTTTGGACTTGTATTTGTCGTCTGTACGTAAGGACAGTTTATTTGTTGCACAAATAAGCACAGTTTATACACAACTCTAACTGAAACATTGAAATCATAATCAGAGTGTATTAAAAATAGAGAAGAAAGACAGACCTCTGACACTCTGTGATGTCTACTGAGACCTCTAACCCTCTGTGATATCAACTGAGACCTTTGACCCTCTGTGATGTATACTGAGACTTCCAACCCTCTGTCTGCAGGTTGGGGTGGTCAGCAGAGACAATGGCCGCTTGTCCTGTCCCGCTCCGCTGGAGTACACATGCGGCGACAGCGGCGTTTGCACGAACATCGACGCAGACACTGCTACCGTGACAACCAATGACGGCACGGGACAACAGCGCTGGTGCCAGTCAGAGCAGGACACCAGCATCACGGTGACGACTGGAGCCAAGAGCCTCTCACTCAGGTCATTACCATCTGGAGTCTATGTGGGTCAGAAATCAGGTCAGCACAGTGTGAGGGCTACTGGCGTTTGCTTTTTGGTCAGAATTTACGTCAGCACCGCCTGGAGTCTGCTATGAGGTCAGAACTCAAAATTGTGTCTGAGGCCCTGGGGGCATATGTTAAATAAACCCTTTGTAATCTTTGAAATGACAGAAAATAATTTAAATCTATTTGAGAAACCTTTGGAGCACAGACAAACAGCTAGACTCTATAGCCCTGTTACCACCATCTCTACTCTACCCCACTCTTTTCTGCCCGGATTAGGAGTGTTTCCACTGGCACTGTTTAACCGGTACCAGGTCCTTCTTTAGTTCCCCATCGCCCTGGCACCATCTAGGTCAAGCTGGTGCTTAAGTGTTCAAACTGGCAGTTATTGGCCAGAGTGTTGCTGAAAGTCATGATTACCAAGACGTTTCCAGGAATACTGGTTTGTTGTGGGTAGGTTACAAGGATACGGTGCCTGATACTAAACAAACCAGGTAGAACAGAGTAGAGCAGAGTAGAGCGGAGTAGAGCTGGTGGAAACAGTGCTTAAATCGGGAGAGACTACAAGAGACAAGATGCATTAAGAGATTTATTGCAGTAAAAAAAAAAAGTATCGTTTGTAGTTTATTAGTTTGGCACATAGTGTGGCCTTGCTCTATGCGGATCGATGCTTGAGTGCAAATTATGATACCCCGAGGTGGAGGCGGGGAGGAGGTGTTTGCGACTTGAAAGACTGTTTGGTGTGTGGTGTCCTGCTTTTAAGAGCTGGCTTGATTGGCACGGCTGGCAGGGGAGTTGACGAAGCCAATGTGATGAAGGCTGAGGAAGGAGGGGGCAAGATGGTGTGATGATGTACTTGAGTAGTCTACCGGTCTGGAATCTTTCACTGAGAACAGCTCCAGGTCTCTGCTATTAAGCTGCATTTATGTGAATCTAATGAGTGAGTTTCTACAAGTGAAAACAAATCCTGCTCCATTTGAATCCGATAGATAAAGACGATTGAGTAGAAATAAACCAGTCCGTTTGGAGCTGGAGCTAAGACCACATGAACCCAGATCCTTTAAAGACAACAGCAGAGATGCAATCAAGGGCACAGAAAAAAGCAAACCTCCAATTGAGTTATTTGTGTAGGTACTTTTTCTTACAGAATGGCCTCTAACCCTATTTTTGATGTATGCTGGGGAAAATAACCACATTTCTTCACATTAGTTTATGAATGAAAGCTTATTTTGCTTTTTGGATTTCACAATATTTATTTATGATCTTACGTTACCTAAGGATCATGTAGACAAAAGACACAGTAGTTACTCATGATTCTCTGGGATGGAAGTATAGGAGACCAATGCACAGTAATGGGTTCTTTAAGATGTGTTCACAAAAGAATATGACTTAAATAAGAAATAACACGTAGCTGGGAGGTTATTGTGACTGTTCCCTTCGGGTGTGGCCGTTAGAAGGAAATAGTTTCCATTGTCGTGTTGTGGATAAACCTGTCATTAAGATGATTGGATCAGAGAATGTGCCAACATCTCACCGCAGTAACAAAGAAAAAAGAAAGGTCTTTGCTGTTGTTAATGATCAGGTCATGTACGTACGACTGCAGTCACGCTATGTACCAACTCTACAGGAAGAACACAGTGAATTATAAATGAACTGACGTCAAATATGTGTATAAAATCATATACACAAAGAAAAAAACACTTATGCCTTTAGTAAAATTATTGATGTTTTGTTGCCAAATACTATTAATATCACAGAGAGCAGACAGAACGGGTACTGAGCTAGAGTAGTTTACTTTTACAGTTAATAGGAGCCAGAGAGCCATTGTCTATCTGTACAGTCTATGGTTGTGTGTCTGCATTAAAGCAGACATAGATTCACCATTATGCGTGGTTTGTAATGTACTTGTGCAATACGAATAAACTTATCTGGTTTTTTGACTCAGCTCCAAGGGCTGCTGCTGGTTGTCGAATGTTGAAAATGTGAAGGACTGGAGCGCAGTGGCTCAGATGGATTTGGGACAACGCTCAGACACGTTCAGCATCAACCACTGCCCTGTGTCAGCCACCGTGTCCTCCATGAGGTGAGGGAGGAGAGCCTTCAGCGAACTGAAACTGTAGATCCAGAACTGAGGCTGTAGATCAAAAACTGAGGCTGTAGATCCCATACTGAATATGTAGAACCAGGACGGAGGCAGTAGATTGTTCTGCCTCTGTGCATTTGTCCATGTGGCTCAGTCCCAGTTGTGTTTTGACAGAGTGCCACAGAACTGCTTTTCAAAGGTCTCCCTTTTGGCTCATGATCCAGACGGAGATGAAGTCAAGTGCAGCTTAACGAGCACCACGCCAACGAACATTGTGCTCGATGAGGTGAGGGCTGTTATTACTGCGATGTTTTGAGAGAGAGTCAAATAGTGTACATACCCTCCCTCTGTTCTCACTCACTGGTCTCTCTCTCTGGCCTCTCCAGACTCTCTCTCTATGGTCTCTCTGGTCCCTCTGGTCTCTCTCTCTAACTCTTGCTTACTTGGGTTTTCCTGCAGAACAAATGCGTGCTGAGCTCTACTGGGGCCTTGAGTACAGGAGTGCATGTGTTTGAGGTGCTGCTGGAGGATTTCCCCATCAAGAACATAGACCTGAACTATCCGGATGGGAAAGTGGTCCAGCTGAACGTGTCTAACCCAAACCTCAGCTCCCTGTGCAGCGTCAAGCTACTCTTCTCCATTGAAGGTAACAAGGGTCAAGACTCAGAATTTATACCAGAAAATTGGAGACAAAGGACATAAAAAAACATGTTTTTCCAACAACAAACCTCATTCAGCTATTTCCAAAAATATCAAAATTACAGTGTTTTAAAGCTGGGCTATCTAACTTTCAAACCACATGAAAATAAATATCTAAAAGAATCCTTTTAGTTCCCGGTTCTAAAACTGTTTTCTTCAATCCGTATTTTTCACATCATGTGTTTTTGTAATCAGTCACATTTTTACATCAGCTTTTTCAGAGAGAGACCAATGAAAGAGAGACAAGAAGGAGAGACCAGAGAGAGACCAGAGAGAGAGAGACCATTGAGCGAAAGCGAGACCAGAGAGAAAGTTGTATTCCTGGCCTCTGTCACGACTTTAGATCCACTTTCTTAGACATAAAAGTGAAGACCCTTACTCTGCTAATTAGCGCACAACCCAATGAGTCAAATTGATTAAAGGATTCTACTACTACTATTTGTGGTTTACTTTTAGTACATAACCTTTGCGATAAATCAGGGACCTATGTAATGTCACCTGCATGTGTAGTTATGTCACATGTTATCATGTAACATGATTTACATTCTTTATAGAATAAATACCGTATTGATGGATAACCCTGTGTTCTGTGTAGTGCTGCCTCCGCTGCCCTCCTGTGAGCTGGGTCACGTTCAGCCCATGTTCCTGTCCAAGACCCCGTCCCAGGGCTCTCTCCTGTACGCCTCAGGGGGAAAGACCATCACCATTGTGATCGAGGCCCAGGCCCAACACAACAGGTACCTGTCCCCCAGGACCAAAGTGAGACCTGGGCGAGAACCTGACACAGACTGCCAACATTTCCCTTATGTACAGTACAGACCAAAAGTTTGGACAAACCTTCTCATTCAAAGAGCTTTTTATTTTCATGATTATGAAAATTGTAGATTCACACTAAAGGCATCAAAACTATGAATTAACTCATTTGTAATTCTGAACATGCTAAAAAAAAAAAGTATGAAACAAATGAAAATATGTCTTATATTCTAGGTTCCTCAAAATAGCACCCTTTGCTCTGATTACTGCTTCGTTCACTCTTGAGTTTCAAGAGGTAGTGACCTGAAATGGTCTTCCAACAGTCTTGAGATGCTTAGCACTTCTTGCCTTCACTCTGTGGTCCAGCTCACCCCAAAACCATCTGGATTGGGTTCAGGTACGGTGACTGTGGAGCCCAGGTCATCTGGCCCAGCACCCCACCACTCTCCTTATTGGTCAAATACCTCTTACACAGCCTGGGTGTGAATCTACAGGCTATAGTCATGAAAAGAAACGACACTCATTGAATGAGAAAGTGTGTCCAGAATTTTGGTCTGTACTGTACATGAGATTGACAGATGGATCGGTGCAGTCAGAACTGTATCTGGTCAAGAGGGAGCTGCTGTATCAGACAGTTGTGATGAAGAGGGAACACCGTCTGCAGTCAGAGCGCTACGTTCTCTCCATCACCTCTGGTCATGAGCTTTTTAATAAAAGGACGAGATCATGCATGCAAGTGATGCACATGAGTTTCCTCTGGAGTGGAGCTCCCTTAGAGATAGTGAGGAGCTCACACGGGAGGAGCTCAGAGTAGAGCCGCTGCTCCCATAGAGATAGGGTGAGGAGCTCAGTTACATGAGAGGAGCCGTCCCGCCCTCCACATGAAGAGGAGTTTAGGTGGATCTGGCATCTGTTCGGGATGTCTCCTGTTCTCGGCATGTCACACCGGAAGGAGAGCAGGGAAAAAGTCAAGACACGCTGTAGGCACTACCTCAGGTGAGCTGGAGGAAGTGTGGAGTGTGACTGCTGCTCCTGCAGCCCGGCAGCAAATAAAGTGGATGAAAATGGACGGATGTCATAAGTGATTTAAAATGTAAAGATTATATTATATACATTTGTTTTTTTTTCTGCTTAAAAGTATTGCCCCTGAATTAGTTTTGGTAATTTTTTAGGTGAAAAAAATGTCTGGGTTTGCAGCTCCCTCTGGTGGCAGCATAGGGAGTTAGAGACAGCTCTGACTGCAGATGCTGCTCCTTCTGGTGGCAGCATAAGGAGTTGTATATGCTGCTCCCACACAGGACACAGGGAGTTCTGACGGCAGACACTGCTCCATCTGATTGCATCATAGGGAGTTACCAGCACAAAGCATGTTTTACATCCTTCATACATGTTTCTCTATCTAGATATTTTTTACTTTTCTAACCCATGGAATGTCACTGTAAACTTCCTCATTATCATTTTGAATGGCCAAAATAATGCATGTTCTTCTTTTAATTAAATAAGATTTTTTGTAACAAGTCATTATATTTCCAAAAAGCAGAACAATAACACAAGAACAAACAGTGAGGTCTTGTGCAATATCACCTATCTTAAAGTGATAGTCTGGAACTATAAATCAATTACAGATTTGAAGAATTGTATTAAATTGACCACCTGGCCTTAAATTTTCACATAGAATAAGTAATTTTATAGCTCAAAATCCATGATTTAGGGTCGTGGTTCGAGCCCACCACAGGACCTTCTCCATCGACTCCCACTGATTTCTGCTGTCATTGTATCCTTGAAGACACTTAACCTCTGGGAACACTAGCCCCAGTGGGGCGGCTGCGGCTGTAAAGTGCCAAACTGCCGTTGTGTCCTTAGGCAAGACACTTCACCCCCATTGCCTAGAATGAGTCTGGTGTGTGTGTGAATGGTTGGTGGTGGTCGGAGGGGCTGATGGCACATACTGGTTGCCTCGCTTCTGTCAGTGTGCCCCAGGGCAGCTGTGGCTACAGTAGTAGCTTATCATCACCGTGAATGGAGTAAAATATAATGACATGCAAAGCGTATTTGATTGTCCAAAAAAGCAGTATATAAAACCGATGCATTATTATTATTATCATATATATATTCTAACTATTATTAGACAAACCTTAATCTTCGAAGCTGTGATGGAAATTTTTTAAATTATATATAGAAAATAGTTAGTTCCCAAAGTACGTGGCTAGACAGGTAACAGCTAGGCAAGCTAACTAACTAGAACTCTCTTTGGACCCAAATATAAACTTAACCAAAATCCATAATCAGATCCTCTGCAAAATGTTCTACTAATGTTTATAGTCACTTCCGGGTTTACCGCAATCGCTTTTTGACGCATTAAAACAGTATTTTTGTCATGAAAACATTAACAAATAATTCTGAAAACCTCCGTGCACGTGTATGTATATGTATAATGTATTCTCCGATTAACATTTAAATGTGTTGATTGATTGATATTTGTATTATTGAGCGTGGCTAGAGCTGCTGATCAGTGCTCTGATTACTCTCCGGAGTAATCTTAGTATTATTCACACCTGAAGTACAAGCACAAAGTGCGTTGCCATATTTGTTTGAGAGGTCCGTTATCAAAAAATAATGATTGTTAGAACGTTTGGAAATTACACTCAAATCAATGGAGCAAAATTATGATTAAATATTCTAATATATTCAAATATCTAAATCAATCATCTCTCCTCCGCATGTCTTGGCCCATTGACCTGGAGCGTGCACGGAAAAGTAGGCACGGCTTCAAATCCAATAAGAAAGGAAGGGGGAAGGAGCTTGGGTCGTTTTTTTTTTTTTTTTTTCAAATGTACATTTCTCTTTTTTTTTCTGACAAACTCCAGACTATCACTTTAACCCCTTAAACTCTCGGGCCTATTCCCATATAAATGCTTTACAGGCCTTTACAGCCTGAACATTGTTGAAAATGATAGAAATTTTACTCATATTGTAAGTTAGTCTCTGGGGATTCTGTGGATGTGAACATTTTCATGTCTACAATAGTTTGCAAGAGTACATTAGGCTACATTATCAAAAAGGTTGGTTTTCCTAAAATAAACACATAAAAATTATGTATGACATAATTACTTGAAAAGAAGCAAACATAATCAAATGCAACTTCAAACCTTTTACTGACACCTTGGAGCCAAGTTTATGTCTAGATACCAAAAAAATCATAATGTATGCAGGTATTGATATGAAAAATCCAGGCGGAAATGCATTTGGCACTGTTTGGCACAGATTGGCACAAAAAAAGTAAAATGTGGAATATCTTAATTAAATTGAAAAATGTAGATGTTGTTACATATTTGGTCATAAAAATGCACAAACGTACAAATGTTTTAAACAAACTCACTCCGAGCGTCTCCGTGCGTCAAAGTTGGCGTGCCCCCGCCGCTAAAGAGGTTAATGCCAATTTGTAGACTGTAGGTAATATAGAAACTGTCCCATTGTTTCCTCGAGGCTTTGTTTTGAAAAAGTAATCTTCCCAATATCTTCTCACAATACATGTTCTTCTTTTTAAAATGTCTATTGTCAGGATATGGGAGTGGATAGAGACCACATTATAACGTCAGACATTATGTTTTTGCAGCATTAAGGACTTCCAGGTGAGCGGGCCTCGCAACATGACCAAGGTGTTCTCTGACCACCCACTGGGGAAGGCTGCGGTGACCCTGAGCTGGACTCCACACCACCAGGACCTGTACCGACATGTGCCCATCTGCTTCACAGCAGAGACTGATGAAACGTGAGCAAAAATAGCTGCTTTTACCACTATGAGAACTTCCCTGACCCTGAGAGATGAGGAGTTCTGAGGTATGAGGAGCTCTGAGGAATGATGTCGTGCAGACTTTTATGACATCACTCCCACTGCTCTGTCCTCTACTTTTGTTTTGGAGTTGTTGATGTTAACCCTGGCCTTTCCTCTCCTCTCCTCTCCTCTCCTCTCCTCTCCTCTACTCTACTCTGCTGATAGCGAGTGCTGCTGGGAGCCAACCAAGGAATTATCTGTAGACTGTATTTAGATGCACAATGCTAACCTGCAAGCTCAATGAAGTCCGATAGGCAAGTGCTAATGGTGAAGTTTGGCTCCAGCCTTCATTCTCAGGGAAACTCCAGTTTGCCTTGGCAACCGTCTTATCAACATGTCTGCCCCTGTTACAGCACAAAGCTAACGCCATCAGAACAAATGACCGTATTGGGAAATCAGACATAATTGAATTTTTTTTTTTTCCCTCTTTCAGCCAATCAGAGATGCGGTGTGCTGTGATAGTCGTGACCAAATCCACGATAACTCAAGGTTTGTGTAATCACATTGTGGATTATAGACTGTGGGAGTCTGACCTCTCTCTGACCTCGTAATCCACAGGAAACGCCATCGTGAAGTGCCAGGCTGACAGGATGACGGTGTCTCTGGAGAAAGCCTCGGTTCCTGGGATTGATGAGAACTTCCTGAAGTTATTGGACCCGTCCTGCTCCCTGACCTTCAACAGCACTCACATCATGGGCGCCATGACCTACTCCACCTGTGGCACCAAAGTCGAGGTAAAAACAGGTGCAGCAGCTTTAAGGACAGCTGTCAAAAGAAACCAGAAACTCTCAAGAGGCTGATCACTTTATTCATGAATTCACAATCGTCGCTCGCTGTAACACAGATATTGTTTTACAGTATGTTTCTCATATTTCTCTCTTTATACATAACAACAACATAATTTACCTGTTACTATAGTCTCTGGAATCAGTCTGGTTACTGGTCTTTCCCTTTCGTCTCTTTCTGGTCTCTTTCTGGTCTGTTTCTAGTCTCTTTCTGGTTTCTCTCTGGTATTTTCCGGTCTCTCTTGCTGGCCTCTCTCTGGTATCACTCTCTGGTCTCTCTCTTGTCTTTTTGGTATCTCGCTCTCTGGTGTCTTTATCTAGTCTATTTCTGGTCTCTCTCTGTTGGGATGAATTTTCTTCTGTCCTGGGTTCCATGGGAGCCTCTCTGTCTCCTCACTGACCCGTATTGCAAAAGTGCAGTAGGAGGCAGAGTGTTTAGCTACCAAGCTTCTATACTGTGGAATCAAACATCCCTAATGACATGGATCTTTCTCTCTCAGGACAAGGGGGACTTCATTGTCTTCTTCAATGAAATCGACTCCTTTGAGTTGCCCACGGAGATCATCACAAGAAGGAGGAAGGTCAAGCTGGGCTTCTCGTGCCAGTTTCCCAAGTTCTTATCTATCTCTACCCACTACAACGTGCACACCAACGACTACATCTTCACAGAGTCCACTTTTGGCAGCTTCCAGTACGCCTTCGAGATCTACAAAGACGCTCAATTCACGGAGAAGGTGCAGCCCAACGAGTATCCAGTGGAGATTGAGCTTTTCCAGAACTTGTACATGTGCATCAGGGCAACGTCAGAGCTACAGGTACAGAGACTACAGCTTCCTTTGGGACATCCTTCATCGCAGTGTCCATTAATTCCATACACAGGGTTGATAAACTACAACAGTTGCCACAGTTGCCCTGGGGCGCACTAACATAAGTCAGAGTCCTTGATCTACCGCCTCAGTCCTGGATCTACAGCATCAGTCCTGAAACTGCAGTCCTAGATTCACAGTCTCATTCTTGATCTACCCCTCAGTCTTTGGTCTACCGCCCCTCAAACTACAGATGTAGTTTGTTCCAACAGTAAAAGTAAAATAATCACATCTACTGAGAAAACTTGTTATCTTTTGTGTAAGTCACTATTTGACTCTTTAGGCTGAGAGCTGATTGGTTGAGTGAAAGTGGTCCTCTCTTTTTACTTTTTTGTCTGACCAAAAATACATGATGTGGAAACAAGTGATAGAACTCTGATGTTTTAGAGCCAGGAACTAGAGGGATAGAATGTTTGTTGTGGTTTGAAAGTTAGTTACCCCAGCTTTAAGGACCAAAGGCAGTGTTTTCTCACATTATTCAAAAAAATATCTATTTGCAGAACGTGAAAATGTTCGTGGAGTCGTGTCGAGGGACTCCTGATGAAAATCCGGATAACACTCTGTTCTATGACCTCACCAAAGATGGGTGAGTGTGAGGAACTGGGCCAAATCATAGACTGTTGGATAAGGCTAACCCGCTAGCTAAATGAAGCCCGATAGGAAAGTGCTCACATTCACCCTTTTGGGATTAAATCCATGGTTGAGCGCTCTCTGTGATCCTGGTGTCTATATTGTGATATTGTCTTTTTAAATCCAGACCTGTGCCGTATCAGGATTTAGCAATTAGAGGCCTTCATTCACGGAGGAAGAGAGAGACCTGAGAGAGAGACCAGGGAGAAAAGACCATAGAGACTAGAGAGAGATAACATAGATGATGATGATGATGATGACTTTATTAGCAGACTCGAGGTCCAGATCAACAAGAGAAAGACCAGAGAGAGATACCAGAGAGGAATCAGAGAGAGGTCAGAAAGAGAGACCAGAGAGAGACTGGATATAGACCAATATGAAATCACACTCAGAGCTGTTCCCTGTCTATAAAACAAAAGTATTGCCCATAATTAGTTTGGTTAATTACTTCAGTGAAATGATCTTCATGTTATGGCACAAAGATGATGCTTTCGGAACAAATGCTCATTTAAGAAAACCGGCTCATGCTAACTAACAAACTTCTAACTTTTGTTCAAATCAGCTTCTTCTGTATTTAGGCTAACACTGTCACATTCAAATACAGTCTATGGGTCAAACGTTGTGTGGGGTCACTCCGATCATGTGGCAAAGTAAACTTGTGTGCTTTTTCCCACAGCTGTTCTAAAGACGAGACGTTCAACGTGGCTAAGTCCACAGACGACACCTACTGCTTTCAAGTTCAATCGTTCAAATTCAATGGAAACAACGATCAGGTCAGAAATGCACCTTCTGTCTAAAAGCTCCTGTCTCAGTCCTGGTCTCTCTCTCTCTGATCTCACTTTAGTCTCTCTTTTGTGTTTCTCTTAGGTCTCTCTCTGGTCTTTCTCTTGTCTCTGTCTGGTCTCTTTCTCTCTGGTCTCTCAATGATCTCTCTGTCTGGTCTCTCTTTATTCTCTCCATGGTCTCTCTGATCTCTCTCATAGGGAGAAGGTTACTCCACTGTACATAGAGTGAGATTGTAATGACTGTATTAGACCACATTGGTGCAGGTGACACATGGTCCCTGTCAGGGCTGGACTGGGACCAAAAAACGGCCCGGGCCGTTTTGCCTTCTTGACAGCCCAGGCGTGTTTTTTTCCACGTTTTTTTACAGTTTGTTTATACAGTATGCGGAAGCAAATACTGTAGAGCAGTGTCTCCCAAAGTGGGGTCCGCGGCCCCCTGGTGGGCCGCGAGTGTACTGCAGGGGGGCCGCGGGAGGTCATAAAAAAAATAAACAAATAATATAATTATTTAATGTTAAATTTATAATGTTTTGTTTGTAATATTAAAATATTTGTGTTCATTATTTGACTTGAATAATCCACTGTAATCATTTTTGTATTCCAATGTTTGTAGCAGAGGCTATTTCCCCAAAATAAAATAACCAGAAGAGCCTATTCTTAATGTTGTCTTCTTGGTTATTATTTTGGGGGGGCCACGCAGACCCGTCAGATTTTTAAGGGGGCCTCGGTGTTACTGAGTTTGGGAATGGCTGCTGTAGAGGATCCGGATGTATGCAGTTTTAACAATAAAACAAAGTGCAATAGTCTACATTACAAGAGAGTAATAAACATGTCTCAGATTGAGGGAGGTGGACACAGACAACACTATTGTTTGTTACAAGGATAAGAATAAATTGTAAATTGAAATTGTTCCCCATTTTCTTTATTGTATGACAAGTTGGTTTCAAGCTACTAAATCTGTCCTGAGGCCACTTGAGTCCCTTTATAAAAACGAATTAAAAATCCACAATAAAAAAAGCAGACGTTTCCATCACTGTCATATCCTTACAAAACATAAAATCTTTAGCTTTGACGACTTAATTAAACACACAAATCTTTGCTTCCTGTATAAGATCCTGCACCGCTGCTTCTCTCCACTGAAAGAGTTAATCTCTTTAGGCTTAGACATAACAACACAAGCCACGAGATCCACCGAGCGCGGCGAGTGTAGGATCCTCAAACGCAGGACAGCTTTTTCCTGTGTGACCACTCGTCAGTGGAATATGCTACCCACAGAGCTGATAGCAAGGACCAATTCCTACATTAAAGCCTTTTAAAGAAATGGTTATTATCAAACCAAACTTGCACTCATGTGTAGCTTGTGTGAGTGTGTGTGAGAGAGAGAGCGGGGGGTGTGTGTGTTTGACCAGTATAAATGAGTGATATGAATGTGAGTTTTTAACAAATTGTGCATGTAAAGACTTGTATTTTGGCCAAATGTAAACTACATCCATGAATGTGTATTATTTTTTAATGTAATACCATAACATCAGCCTGCCCAGGGACTACATGCGGAAATTCTTGAGCTATAACCTGGTACAATGCATCTCTCCCTTTGAGGATAATGTTTATTGTGCACTGTCCCTGTCATCTTCAATAAATAAATAGATCAAAAAAGTCTGAAATGCATAATTGGCTGGCTCTAAATCTGTTTGATTTGTTCACAACATTTTACTTTTGGGCACAACCAACAACTTTAATTTAGGGAGTTTGATCGCGTTTCGAGAGGAGAGGGGAAACACGGACTGTTTCCTGCAGCGGTGTATTTATTGCGTGCACAGATTATGGAAAGAAATGCACACAACAAGCAGAGAATGGTCCTGTGCGCGTTTATGGTCTTGGGTACATGGCCACGTTGCGGCTGCGCGCTGGTGGAGCGGCTGTGAGCTCACAGTCCCTGGACGCGGGAACCGCTCATTACAAAGCGGCCACAGCTGCCCCGGAACACTGCGGCCGCTGAGGTGGCGGAATCCCATTCGAGTACATACAGCAGGTGCCCCGCAGACACGTGCGCCCCCTCGAACAATTCTCAACGGATTTACACTTTTTACAAACATGTTTTTTGTATGAGGCAGACAGGCCGGCCCAAATATGGGCATCGGCCCTTCGGGCATTGCCCTGTACACCCAATGGCCAGTCCAGCCCTGGTCCCTGTAAATGCCTGAAACTGGTACTTTTGCTGACTCCCACTGATGTCTGCTGTTGTTGTGCCCTTGGGCAAGACACTTAACCCCACTTTGCCAGAAGTCCCCGCTGAAAGATCTAGGCTCCTGTGGACTCACCACCTGCAGGAGGATCAGTGAGGGGCTGGTGCTCTGTGAATTGGGTGCAGCTCTGACTGCCGCCCCCCTGACCCAGCAATGGATTAAGGGGAAGAAAATGGATGGATGGATGATACTTTTGCCCCTCCTGTTCTGATATCTACACTCAAAGAAATGATTCACGTGGTTAGTATTTTGAACTCAAAATACATACTAAACTAAACTCAATAATTGATTTTTGCCAGTTTTACTTAAATTAGTGTGGTCGCAACTCATTTTAAACATGCCTGTCTCAATTAAAAGTTAATACAAGAATCCTAACTCATTTTTGTAACAAATTTGAACTTGATATTCTGGCATAACTGGACAACGGAGAAGTATTGAGTTTGCTCAACATGAAAATCCTCTTGTAAGCCTGGGGGTCCATTAATGAAAAAACAAATATATTGAGTTGATTCAAAATAAATATATTGAGTTGATTCAAAATAAATATATTGTGTTGATTGAAAACAAAATGTGGCGAAGCAGTGACGCTACCCAGAATGCATTGCAGCGAAAAATATAAACTTCTTAAAAATTCTACATTTGAGCATTAATTTTAAAACTGAATATGAAGCAAGTCCTAAAGCAAAATACTTGAGCAACATTCTGAATAAACTAATTTGACCAAATAAGTAATTGTATTTATTTTTATCAACCATGATCGAGAGGGCCAAGCCAAAGCAGTCCTATACTCCCTGTGTCACCCTTCAATTTCGAACAAATACTTTAAGGTGAACATGTTTACCAGTGACTGTACTGGCCCACTCTCATATATATGTGGAGTGAGAGACTACTGCCTGAAATTAACAATTGTGAACCGTTTTGTGAATCTAATCTTTGAAAGATGGTATTTGAATAAAGATTACATATTCCTGACTGAAAATCACTTGTTGATTATACTCAAAAAGATTTATTTTCAATGTAATTATTTAAGTTGGTAGTATTGTTAAAATTAAGTTGAGCTGATGCTAAAACACTTGCTGAATATACTTAACAAAGTGTCTTTATAACTCAATTATTCAAGTTGGTGGTATTGAAAAAATTGTGCTGGACCAATGATAAAAGACTTACAAAGAATACTTAAAACACAGTCTTGTTCGCAAAACTTAAAAAGATGCATGCAAAATGCTGCCTCAATTTTATTAAGTTTTGCCAATGCATTTTTTTTTAGAGTGTATGTCTCCCCCAGGTCTACATCACCTGCTCGGTTATCCTGTGTGACAAGGACAGCCCCTTCTCCCGCTGTGCGCAGGGCTGTGTGGAGAACGCCAACCAGGCCAGACGGCGGCGCCGACGGAGCCTCTCCAAAGAGACAGAGGACCACCGCATCACCCAGGGGCCCTTCATCTTTCAGAACGCAGACTCTCTTCTCAGCAGTGATAGCATGGCATTGATTGCTGATGCCGAGTTAAAGCCCACCCCGCTCCCCACCACAGCCATAAGCAAGAGAGTCAAGTTAACAGGTGAATATACAGTACATGCATATCCCTCTTGTTTCCCTCTGGTCTCTCCCTGGTTTTTCTGGTCTTTCTCTCTGGTCACTTTCTCTCTCTCTCTGGTCTCTCTCTAGTCTCTCTCTGTTCTCTGTGATCTCTCATTTTTCTCTCTGGTCACTTTCTCTCTCTCTCTGGTCTCTCTCTAGTCTCTCTCTGTTCTCTGTGATCTCTCATTTTTCTCTCTGGTCACTCTCTGGTCTCTCCCTCTCTGGTCCCTCTCGTCTTTCTGGTTTCTCTCCTGTCCCTCTATGCCTCTCTTTGGTCTCTCTCTCTGGTCTCTCCCTCTGGTCTCTCTCTAATCTCCTTGCTGCCTGTTCTTCAGAGCCTGGCCAGAGTTGGCTTGATCGCTCATCAGAATCCGGAGATGTTGTTTATGTGGAAGACGATGACGTTGAAGACGACTTCCTTGAGATTCGGGAGATCCTCGCCTCACACTGGATCACCGCTGTCTTCGCCACAAGCTTCTTCCTCGCCATCATCACTATGGTCTTCCTCGTCTGCTACTTCACAAAAAAGAGGCGAGCAGAGGACAGGAAGATGTTGCTGGAATCAGAGTGAAACTGCTGTCTTTCCATGTTGGTACTGTTTATCCATGGGCCCCAGGAGGATGAATCACAATCAGGCTCACCTATTAATCTCAAACAAAATACCAATTTTTGTGGTCGCAATTAGCAAATCATAAAATCTACTGATATTTTGGTTATTTGTAAAAACAAAAGAGACTAGGGCAAGGAAAAATGCTTGTATTTGGAAAAATGTCTCTTGATTTTAGTTTATTTTTAAAGATTTGACAATAGGACTTATCTCACTGGTCTCTTTCTCCTGTCTCTCTCTCTCAGGTTTCTCTGGTTTTTCTCTCGTCTTTCTCTCGTCTAAATCTGTGGTCTGTCTCCAAAATGTTTGTACTGAAGCTACGAGCTCTATAAACATTTTCTGAAATGTGAGGACTAGTGTTAGAGGTAACGGCTTCATATGTCATCTTTTCAAATCTCTACAAGAAGATTTTTCTTGACACATGACTTTGACAACGGTCCAGCACTGGACACCTATGGATACACACACTCTCAAAACTATATAGACTACAGGGCTACACACTATACTCTTCATAATAACTAACAGCCTTTATGTTCAGATGTTTTTTTTTTTTGTATTAGTTTAATATTTATTATGTGTGGATCATTACGTGCATATGTAGAGTCACTTCTCTGTGTCAACTTCATAGCTGACATAGCAGCACCAGACGACAACATCAAAAAATAATAAAAGTTAAAAACAAGAGGAAGATTGCATATTTCACCAGATTTGAAAGACAAATTGACACTTGTGTTTTTTATGTTTCTGGATTTATGAATGTATAATAATTTATCCCTGTTACCACCAGCTCTGCTCTCTCTCAGCATAGCAATAATACCAAAGTTATGGAGAATATTTCAGATGGGTATATTGATTGAAATTGATTGAAATATTGATATATCGTCACACTCCTAGTACTGATGGTGCTGATTTGATGTTTTTGACCTGTACAAACTGAGATAGAACCATTTTAAAGCCGTGCTTGTGCGACTTTCAAGAACAAAGGTGTAACTGAGGCAGTATTGAGCAGTGGAGGGACTGTATCGGAAGATAGAAAATAATGTAATATGGTTGTTGAATGGAGGAGAGGTGTCGGTAGTGAGTCAAGAGAGAAGGAGCAAGGCCGGGCTGCGGTCATCAGGGTAGTGATATGCTGCAGTGATTGTAAATTAAACTCGGACAGAATCCAAGTGCGTGTGGTGGGCACGTTATTGAATCGACAGCGGTCAAAATGCAGAGAGACAATATCGTATCTGTTTATTGTACAAGAAGCCTACATATTTCTGATGCTTGGTGGGAAGGTTGCGAATATACAGTAACAAATACTAAAGCGTAATGGAAACGCAACCAGGTAGAGCAGAGTGGAGCAGAGCAGAGCAGAGAAGAGTAGAGCAGAGAAGAGTAGAGGTGGTGGAAACAGGGCTAAATTGTGACCATCTCCAAAAACGGAGGAAGAGGAGGTTTCACGACTCAGCACAAAATGTGGAGCGTCGTTGTTTCTGAAACAGAACTGGTTTGAAGACAATAAGTCTCACTTTTTTTCTGTCTGACATTTCTGATTTCGAAATAAAACTATTATTGAGACAAGTGTGTTTTTTTTTTTTGTTGAAACATTAAAAGAAAATTTGCTTTTGATTTACAAAGAATGTATGATAGTTTATTACCACTGTCCAAAATATGGCCCCTCTCTGGTCTCTTTCAAATCTCTCTCTGTTATCCCTCTCTGGTCTCTCTTTTTGGTCTCTAGTCTCTTTAAACCACCTCTGCAACATTGCTTGTCTCTGCCGATCCCTTTTCATCAAACCACTGCATACATCTTTAACCTGAACTCTGAGGATCTAGCCTTCTTAAAGCCACCCTGTGTAATTTTTACAGCTGCTCCATATGAAATTGTATTCATAAGCTTAGAATTTAACTCATAAGTGTGTTGAGGCTATCCAGATGCGCCACACACACTACCATCTAGGCCAGACATGGGCAAACTTTTCCTCCTGAGGGCCACATTGGAAATTAGGTCCGGATTCAAGCTTCATTTTAAAACAAAAATGTATGGTTTATATGAAAAAAATAGCTCTGCACACAGCAGAGGGGGATTGTATGATGTTTAAATTGAAATTACCCCACTGTGGGATGAATAAATGTTCTTAATCCTTATCTCTCTTGGTCTTAATCTTAATCTATAGAAATTGAGGAGGGCTCAGGGGCCTGATAGAAGCATCCAATGGGCCGCATCTGGCCCACGGGCCGGGGTTTGCCCACCACTGATCTAGGCGCTCAAATCGAGCGCACCTCACAGAAGGAGACGAGCTCCTCCCAGTCGGCCCCTCCCAGTCGGCCCCTTCCATTGGCCGTCGTGGGTGGTGCCCTCTCCCCTTTTATTAGTGATAATGCTGTTTCAACTACAGTTGAACCTGATGAAATCTCACACAACAAAGAGACAAAGTTAATCTTTTACTTGTTACATTGTCACAAGGAGAATGTCTTGACAGAGGCAAGGCACAGACCCTAGCCTCTCTCAGGACAAGTCTGAAGATTCACAGTCTGCAAGCCCCTTTTGGTAGAACAAGACACACCTTCGTATGCAGATGGGAAAGGAAGAAACCAACACAACAAAAGACACTTAGCATATGAGCTCCCCAGACCTCCCGGTGTCTTCCTGAAGCTAAAGTGAATTACAATACAGAGCATTCAGCACATAGCCACATATGATTTACCAAAATGATAACTTAAGTTACACTCCAATATCAATTAGTGATTGTTTGAACGTGTGAATGAATGAAATGAACAATGACTCGTGCTGTTGTGGCTATCCAGATGCGCCGCACGCACTACCATCTAGGCCAGGCGTGTCAAACTCATTTTGGTCCGGGGGCCACATACAACCTAATCTGATCTCAAGTGGGCCGGACCAGGAGATGCTCTACAAAAATATCCAAAATCGGTACAAAGTCCAACTTTTTGTGCACATAAACACATTTATTTAAAACTTCCTTTAAAACACTATCCTTTAATACTCAGTTTTCTGTTACAAACTTAAATGTAACAGTGAGTTTTCCATAGTGCAAATAATGTAATGTATTTACAATATTACATTGAAAATGGTATTTCACAATATGTATATTAATATTTGTATGTTAGCTTTGTTTTAAGGCTCATTACAGAGAAAACTTGCTCACAAAGGTAAAGTAGGTAGACAGAAAAAATCAATTTAACACAGCACCTCAGCTTAACCATCTTCAGTGTGGTAAGGTCCATGGTTATGTTATTATCACATTAACCATCTTCAGTGTGGTAAGGTCCATGGTTATGTTATTATCACATTAACCTTCTTCAGTGTGGTAAGGTCCATGGTTATGTTATTATCACATTAACCATCTTCAGTGTGGTCAGGTCCATGGTTATGTTATTATCACATTAACCTTCTTCAGTGTGGTAAGGTCCATGGTTATGTTATTATCACATTAACCATCTTCAGTGTGGTAAGGTCCATGGTTATGTTATTATCACAGAGAAAGCATCAAACTGACCATGATTCAGTTGAAATTAATAAAACAACTTCCATAACGTGATCCAATCTTAACGACTGCAGCAGTGTCTCTGTGTAAAATACAGTCAAATGTCCAAAAATCATCACCTCCATTTGCAGCTTTGTCACTACACCTGTTTTTACCATCGGTACCCGTCCACACTGTCCAACACACCAGAAACAACAGCAGAACCAGCAGCAGCAGCGCTCAAAACTCCTCTGATAGTTTCAGTAACACCACAAATTAATATGTGACATCAGTAACATCAGTCTCTTATCAATGGCAACATGTTGGTGACAGCGAGTGGTTTCTCAGACCATGTCTGCAGCCTGTGAGAGTTTTAACAAACTCTCTCTCACTGTGCGGCTGCGATGCTAATGCTAATGTTGTTAGCACAGGTAGCTTCCCTTTACAGCAGCAGAACTAACCTCTCGCTCTGGGCACAAACAGACTGCTGTGTCTTCAGGGCCAGACATGTTTATCTTCTGTTTTCTCAATTCTCCGCTCAAAGTGCCGTATTTTTCGCCGAGTCTTGTAGTTTAAGATGTTATTCCTCCAGCACCGCTCTGGTGGAGCCACTACAGACGCACTGGACTCACCCCTGAGCGCGGCGCTGCGGCGTCGCGGAGCCTCGCGTCGCGTCGCGGAGCGGCTTTTTAAAATGTATTATTATATTTTTACATAAATGAGCCGCGGGCCGTGTCAAATCTCTTGGCGGGCCGGTTCCGGCCCGCGGGCCGTATGAATGACACCCCTGATCTAGGCGCTCAAATCGAGTGCACCTCACAGCAGGAGACGCGCTCCTCCCAGTCGGCCCCTTCAAATGGCCGTTGTGGGTGGTGCCCTCTCCCCTTTTATTAGTGTGACCAAGCCATTGTAATATAACAATTAAACTAAGGAGACTCAAATTGTCAGTACAATTGCCATATTTATTTCATAGGAGTATTAAAAGTAATATATTCAGTGCAATGTTCGTTTCACAGCAAGACCATGCAAGAGGGGTGGGATCAAATACAAATTATTTTAGCCCAATATATAAATAAACAATTATGGGATAAAACAGTGGCCGGCTTGAAGTGCTGTGTTTGGATTCACTGTAACAAGAACAATATTTAAGAACAGACACAGAAACATTTATAATTAGCTCTAGCACAAAAAATAGTTTACCTGAAACAGTGTAAAACAAAATTCTTTCCAGACACGCGGGATAAAGAGGCCTGCAGGTAACTTAACCTATCGTCAAAAGATTGTATTTGATTTAAGAATAACCTATTTATCAATAACAGTTTATTCACCTTTGACTCTCCAGACACCCCTCCCAAACATGGCTAAAACCACATGAAGCTGTGGACTCTCCTCGTAGCTTACTTCACCTACAGGGAGAGTTGTGTGATTATCTACACACTCTATTGTGTTTTTTTTTTGTCTCTTTTGTTTTATATGGATGTATGGATGTAT